GTCACTGTGAAAGAACAAGATTGTTCTCTACCAAAAGGATGTTGTATAATCGAGAGCTGATTGAGGTCAATGAAGGGTTTTTGGAGAAATTAACGACCGCACTAAGAAATATACCTGTAGATGGTTGCAGAAATATCCGAATGTTAACAAGCAGCACACTTATTTCTACTGTTTTACAAACATACATGTCAATCTCAACTAGGGTTGCAGCAGTATACCTGTTTGAAGAGCACCGTGATATTAAAATTGTGTGTACATTTACTTATCTATGACAGAATCTTAACTTTATTTTAGTTATTTTCAAAAGGGAGACTTCTTACACAGACTTACACAGAGTTTCAAATAGGGTTGCAGTGGTCGATCTCAATTTTATTTTACTTATTACACACACTTTCATTTAAAAAATGGTTTCAATTTCAGTTACAGTAATAAAAAGTTTGTGTAACAAAATCTAACCCCTATGTTTTCAGTCCTTTAAGGGTCATTTTGACTTATAATAATAATAATAATAATTCTGTAATATCGTGATATCATGATACTGTGAAACTGCGATATTTTCTGAGACGGTTATCGTTCCGTGAAAATCTCATATGCAACCCTAATCTCAATCTGTGTCTTTGCCTGTCTGACAAAACTGCCCTTTTCCACTTAAGTACAATTTCAGAGGCTACAAAAAAACATTGGAACCCTATGAAAAATTCATATGAAACAATAAATGAAAAATTAAACCAACTCATCTGATAAAAGTACTCAAATGTGATTTTGTAATATTAGTCTGAAGATCTAAGTTGAAGGAAACTTCACCCACAAAATGACCATTTGTAAATCAGTTAGTCATCAGTAGCCGTGTTTCCTGGAATTTGTGAAGAAACTTTGTTTTTCTCACATGCCTTCATGGAAAATGGCAAACATATGATTCAGTGATTGATCAGGGACCATGTTAACAACAAAACTATATCAAAACATCCATTTAGAAACTCTCACACAACTCATGCAGTATAATCAGTTTTATTTATACAGTCGTGTGCGCAGTACTTCTAAAACACAACATTTTCACTAAAAAACCTTAGTATTTAAAACTGAAAGTGAAATTTATCTATGCGCTCTTCAAAGCCAGACTCCAATACTAAGGTTTTCTAAGAAGTACTGACCATATGACTGGTTAAATGAAACTGCAGATGTTTTGATATAGTTTTGCTGTTGTCACGAAATCAATGTCATGCCATTTTCTGTGGTTGCATGTAAAGGAAACAAAGTTTTCCTCACAATTTCAAGGTAACACAGCATGACTGATATGCTCAGTAAAACGGTCATTTTGTGGGTGAAGCATTTCCATAAATTACTTTTTTATGTTGCTCTGGATAAAACTTACATGCAAATGTTTTGAAAGCAAATGTGTATAATTAAAGATAAACATAATCACTGCTCACACTTAAAAGTTTTGTAGAATTTTGTCTTTTATAGTCCCAGTCATTTTATATTGATTTCTCATGCAAATTAAAATGGTTGTAAAGTTTATTTTTCTGTCTCTTAGACTGCATAGGCTATTAAAGGTTTCCATGAACACTATTTAGTGTTCACGTTTAAACAGGGATGCAAGTGGTTTTAAATTTTCAAAGCAATTTACACTGTCAGATACTGTGGCTATAACAGAGTGCTTAATGTCTGTACGCAGGTTTATGCTTGTTTACACTGAATATGTGCTATGTTTCTACTTTAATGCTGCTTAAGGGTATATTTAAGGGGGCAACTGGGGTTTAAGTGGTTAAATACTTCAAATTTATTAGTTCATCTTGCACTTATTTATTGTCCTGAGAAATATATTTTTGGTTATATTTCATGTATTCAAGCGGCCTCTGAACTTCATAAATGACTGTTACAAACAACAGCGAAGACAAATCACACTGTTCTGCCTCAGGCTCAGAAAATAGAGTCCTGATCAGAAAGAGGCGAACTGAAAAATGACAGCAAGCAAACAAGCGAGTGCTTCGTGGCATGAACGCAAGTGACCAAATCAGAAGCGTACCTGGTGGCCATCCATCTCCTTGTGTGCGTCCACACTGGTAAAGCTTTAATAAATCACAGGGGCAGTGTGGGAGCATGGGAGGGGGGCTCCATCGGGACTGAGGATGCCTTACAAAGCAGTCTGTATGACACAGAGCGGAGGGGCAGAGGGGCTTCAGAGGGGTGGAGTGAAGGACGAAGGAATGGCCGAACACAAAGAGCACAGAAGAGAAAAGGCATGGCAGGATGGGGCTCGGGGACTGAATGCTGAAACGTGACTGTAGTAAAGAGGATTTAGACTGGGAGACGGGGAGAAAACAACTGGGAGGTGAACTCAGCAGTGATGTAATTATTGAGCTCAGAGCGGAGAACAAATGTGAGAGGCAGGGAAAGAGATTGATTACCATGATTACTGGGCAATAAAAGAGGCTAGAAATGTGTCTTGTTCCTCACTTGTATAAACGTTAAAAGAATGTAAAGAACATGTTTGACACTCTGGTACTTCATGATGTTATTAGAGAAAAATATAAACACATGTAACACCTTGAATACCTTTACTAATGTAGAAATAATGACTGAAACATATAGGAAACAAACAACTCAACAGCCAGTGTTTGGAGGTCTCATGAGCGAATGAGCAAAGTGCATTAGCTTTATAAATTTTTTTCTAGCTAAAACTCTAATTAAAATGCAACTGAGAGGGCTGTTTCAATAGCCTTATAAAGTCAAGAGCTCCCACTTTAGCCAGAGGCAATCCAAAATTTTGGACTTGAGCTGCAGCAGTTTTTAATTTGGCTGCCGTCCCAGTCACTGCCGTCCATCTTCCCAGGCAGAAATGCACAAAAAAAAGGATATGGTGGTGTTACCGAGAATGACTGGACAGGATATCCAGTTTCCCAGAGGAGTGGGAGAGCACGCGCATTCTGTGTCACTGAGTCAGTGCACTCACAGGGAAGTCGGCGTTCGTCATAGCCGACCTCACCGAGCAGACAGAGGCCTGTAAAAATGCCTCTCTGCTTAAATCATGGCAGCAAACAGAAGCAGGCGGTTGCTTGGCATGTCTCCCCTCCAGTAGCCAGCCAAGCAGGCCAGCAGTGACGTGGGTCAGCCGGGGGCGGTGCAGTGAGTCCTCAAGGAAACACAATTAATGTGTCTGAGGAAGAACAATTGGTGGAGACTGATCCATGCGAAGGAATTTCCTCAGAGCAGTGTGAGAAACAGGATCAGATCAATTCACGATAAACGGCTTTGTGAGATGCTGAGCTCAGCTCTGATGTCCTTCATGTGAAATACTACCTCAAGTACCATATCTCTGTCACTGTGATGTCTGTCATCTCTCCGCTATACTGTCCAGATGAGCGACAGTGACATTGGCAAACCACATGGGAAGCAAAAGTCACACTGACTTCTAGGGGTCTAAGAAAACATTGATACACTTGAGTATGTCCGATACTGTATAGATCCTCAAATACACTGTATTGACTTTTAATTAATGGTTTACATACAAAGATTTGAGGCAGAGGTTCATATTCAGTCTTCAGCTATTTGATGCTTCCACTCCAACGTAACAAGATATCGCTAGCACAAACCATAGACTAACATAATAGACGTAGCTGCCATGACGTCATCTGTTGGTTTTTGGAGCCAGAAGTGACCAAATTTGGATGAAAGGTTAGAGCTGAGGAGGAGCGAGGGTTGGATCTGATTCATAGACTGTCACAAAGTGGTCTGCCTTTAATTATGCATAACTTTAAGCCTTAATAAAACATAAAAGGGTGAGTTATATAAAAATTCACCCCCTGTACAGTTGTCAGGAGTGTCGAATTTAGCTATAGAGACCAAAGCTATTTTTTGTACCAGGAGGTAAACATGTTTATTTCAGTTGTAAAGTTGGGCATTTTAACTTGAATGCTTGCTGGAGCCAGCCTCTAGTGGCCATTCAAAGAACTGCAGTTTTTGGCACTTCCATGTTGGCTTCATATTTTAGCCCCGGAGGTTGCTGCTTGGCGCATACACAAACACCAAAAGCCTTTGAAACTGGCAGAAACATAAAGGGAGCACAACTAACTAGAGTACACAACATCACCACATGTCACCTTGCTTACAGTATTGCAATTTATCACAATATGCTGAATCGTATCATATCGCTAGATTCTTGCCCAGACATGATCCGACTGGAGTCACACAGCGATGGGTAGATGAAACCAGCTTAGATCTCCTGACCAGCTCAGATATCATCTCTAAGAGTTAATCAGTGCTACAACCTTTTGAGTAATTACTAGTCTGATATATATAATGTCTAAACTGTGAAAAAAGTCCTATAGCCCAAGGTGACATCTTCAAATATCTTGTTTCGTCCGATCAACAGTCCAGCACTCTAAGATACTCAGAGAAATGCCTTGATTCATCACACTGGTGAACATTCTGTTCTAAAAAGTGACTTAAGCAGCTCATTGATTATCAGAAAAGTTGCTGGTAACTTAGTTAGTTCTCTCAGCTCTAATGTAAACAATCTAACGTGCTAGAAATGAGCCTATCTTTAAGAGCAATATTGATTATGTGTCTTGATTTGATTTATCGCCACATTAGAAGAACTTCTCGGCTCATAGAGTGCTGCAACCACACTGAATGAGTCAACCCTCAAACTTCTGGCATATGAGTGACTGCAGTAGTAGGCTTAAGGGTAAATGACTGGAATATTCCTGTAAATGTACCACAGGGACTGAGTGCGTCCAAGATAGTCTGGTATGTGGTGACATTTGTGCTTGTTTTCAGTTCTGCGAGGCTAGTGTAAGGACAGGGATCCGAGGGGCCCAAAAGGGAAAAGGGGGCCCATGACAACATTGTCAGGGCCTTTCATCCCTTGCTACTCCCCTGCACGTGACTGATATATGGCCAGATATATTAGGATGTAACCACGCGTAAAGATTGTCACTGATTGCCAGCTTTATGCAGCACATACATCAACATGCACACTAACATCTGTCTGTACTCACTTCCTCCTGTACTCGTCCCTCTCCCGCTTGACTTTGGCCAACACGTTATACAGAGCCCTCAGTTCTGGGGTGATGGTGTCTATTTGGACCCCAACTCCGTCTGGATGCGTCCACGTCACCCCGGGCCCGTGCACGGTCTCAAAGCGCTCCCCTTGCCTCCGGACGTGGGTGAAACTCCAGATGGTGCCCGGCAGTCTCGAATCGGGACCGTCCGTCTGCACCGCAACTTCCCGGGCGTAGAGGTGCCGGTACTGCGATTTGAGCAGAGCCTGCTGCAGCTGGCGCTCCAGTAGTTTGTTTCTCCTCTCAAGTTCGTGGACTTTGGCAAGGAAGCAGCGGAAGCGCAGGTTGAGGGTTTTCAGCACATGGATGTTGGAGCCCAGGTCATTTCGCAGGGCGCTGGTCACCGCGCCCGATCCGGCGGGGACGTTGCAGACCGCCCCGGGTGGAGTGTCGGAGAAAAACTGCGAGTTCATGTTGGTAAACAACAACAATAACAACCCGGTAATCCAATTATGGCTCTGTCTGATTTGTATACAACAACAACAATAACAACAAATGTTTTTTTTATCTCTGCATATTCCTCCAGAAGCCCGCTCCCTCAGGACGAGTTTCTCCTTAAAATGCAGATGCTGACAGTGACTGAGAAGCAGGAGATGGGGCGATCATCACTGTCCCCGCTGCACCCCGAGATCTGGACCCCTGCAGCAGGAAAATCACAAACCCAGAAAGTCCTTTAGGAGGCACCGAGGGCATTATCTTGTGAAGGAGCGAGGGGTTTGACGCAGACCGCAATAAGCACCAGCAGCAGCAGCAGCAGCGCAGGCAGCAGCAGCACTTCCCGTCACCCTCATCTCTGTGTTTGCCTTTGCTTTGTCAGGAGCTGCTGATGCTGAGTGGGTTCATATAGCCAAGATGGTCCACCTTCTTTCTTTGTCATTCCCCGTTCAGTTCACTGTGGCTCTATCCGGTCTCCATGTGGTGCGGTGGGATGGCAGGATGCAGGACCGCAGAGCCCGGCCTCTCCGTGGTGTGCGCGGATCATGTTGCAAAGTGCTAAACTCGGCACTATCACCCACATCAGCCCCTCCTACCTCCCTCCCCCTTTTTCTTTCTCTGACATCAGGGAGAGGATCACATCCTGGCTGAGGGCATAAACATAATAAGCCTTATTAATAGGATGAAGTAGACTCTAACAACAATGCGTTTTCAGTTCATGTGGTCTTTACGCATATAATTAAATAATCATAATAAGGATTTAACTTGTTACAGACCAACGGTTTATTGCTGAATCACTGACAAACTTCTACCACAATAATAATACAACATTTATGAGGAGACTCACTATTTTTTAATGTATTCTACTCCCTTTCCACTTTCAAATCCTGTTTGAAAACACACCGTTTCAAGCTGGCATTCTAATTTAATGGTGACACACATATTGATGATGATGATTTTCACCTAATATTTATAATTATGATTTTTGTCTGGTCATTTTATTAACTTTTATTGTATATCACTGAATTGGTTGTTTTTACGATCTATGGATACATTGCTACTTGTTTTTTGTTTTTTTTTACTGTGTCTTGTAAGGTGTCCTTGAGTGTCCTGAAAGGTGCCTATAAATAAAAATGCATTATTATTATTATGTGACTATGTAGGGTATAATGAATTCATATAAATATATGTGTGTGTGTGTGTGTGTGTGTGTGTGTGTGTGTGTGTGTATTCTAGGTCTACTGTGTGTTGTTTTTACTGCAAAGACAATTTTTTTCTGATGCTCATATTAATATATTATAGCCTATATTTCATATACATCAATATAAATAAGCACATATATTGTTACTAAGCAATAGTGGGCAATTTTCTGGCCTTTCTCTGCACCCTGGTAGTTACCAGCTACGCTCCTCCAAGTGGTTGCTTTTTAATACTTACATCCACTGATGAATTTGAGGGCATCATTAAGGATGTGGTGACAGAGACATGTGCTTGTTTTTCTTGAGAGGCCACAATGTTTGAATAGTTGTTGTTTAATTGTGTATTTTTGTATCATATGTTGTATTTGTTGCATTTTAATGTGTTGATTGCATTTTAATGTGTATTGATCGGCTGCTACCTCGGTCAGGTCCATCTTGTAAAAGAGATTTCAATCTCAATGGGACTTCCTGTCTAAATAAAGGTTAGATAAATAGCTGCATACATCTATATACATGTAAAGGCCTACTTTATGTCACTAAAGCACATTAATGTTTGCTGGGGTACTGTACTGTCTATCGTTTTTTAAATCTCAATATATTGTACAGTTGTTCTATGTATTCATTACTTTCATCCAGGCCTATTGCATTTTGATTTATGATGCAGTTTTACCTTTTTGTAATCTTCTCTGATCAGTTTCTCTGCGACACACACTTCCCCTCCATGATTAATATGGTTCTTATCTTACCATATCACTCAATAAAGACGGTCTATGTGCATGTGTATCACCACAATTTTTGCAGGGAATTTGAGGCTCCCTTATATCATGTTTAGAGCCAATGAGTTCATTCTTAAATATGGGATTTGTGGATATGTTGTAGCTGTTTTTGTTAAGCTTTCTCAGACTTTTAATTATTTGCTCTGGATATGAGAGCAGTTAAGTGACTTAATATAAGAGCAAATGCTCCTAATAAGTCTGCAACATCTTTCCAATATCACTTTAAAATGTGTGGGCAGGCTCAAAATCAAAGAAAGGACTTCAGACAAGGGCAACACTTTCATGAGGGCCCACAATAATAATAATAATAACAATAATAATAACAATGATAATCTAATACATCTAAACATAGATATTAAGTTGTATGGTAAGTGATGTAGTGCTCGCTGTACTTGCATGTTGTTGCTTTGGCTGAGCTCCCTCTAGTGGGTTAATCCATCCACCATCTCTATTACTTCAGACATGTCATGACAGGTTATATATAGATGTAAAATGAATTTGACAGCTCGGAAAGACTGTAAAATTGTTGCTTTTAATAAAAATGTCATTTACTAAGATAATGTATGCAACTTAAACATTTGCTCCCATGTGAATCAGTATATGTTGGGCTATTTAATCTGATACTGATACTGCCTTTACCTGTATGTTTATTGTATGTGATGTTCTTTTATTTCATTTTGAACTTTGTATTAACAGTATCCACACAATAAATCTGTTGGTTACTACATTCAGTTTGCACACACAGTGGAAAGCAACACGAGACAAGACATGTCAAGACAAGACAGGACAAGATAAGGCAAGGCAAGACAACAAGAATATGAGCACACACAAGGGTTTATCTAATTGGTTATAAAGCTGAAAGATATTTAAGATTTATTCCATATTTTTAAGTGTGATATTGTTTTAAGATATATATCTGGATCTGAATTCTTGAAAGAAGGATACAAGGGCAATTTCTTAAGTATGTTGTTAAGTTTAAGTACAATTTAGCTAAGGACAATGAGCAAATTAATTACACATTGTTATTTTTTTGAGAAATTTGGATTTCTGACTATTATTAACAAAAATATCAGATTCTTTGAGTGAAATGTTCTTGTCAAAATGTCTTTGGAGATCCGACTGAAACACAGTCCAGAGGAAAGAATAAGTGTTTTATTGTTTCTACCATATCATTACAGAAGGTGCATTTGTCAGTCATATCAGGAATGTATGTATAAATAATAGAACTGACTGGATAATACCAATGTACAGCCTTTAACCTGTATATACTGCACACACACAGGAGAGCCTACCAAATCATTGTTAATTATTGTGCCTGATTTATATGGAATATTATTTGGACATATCATCAAGACTAATATGACTTTAACTCAAGGTATATTTATTTAGGAGCAGCAGAATATATCTGTACACCAGGCAGCAACACTGGTGACTTATAAATATTTTAATTAAAAGTTATTTTATTTTTGTAGTCAGGCACCGCGTGGACAACCTCACCAAACAGAAACATTTGGGGTCCTTTCACTTCACGTGTGCGCCTGCAGCTTTGACATCGTGAGAGAAAACCATGCCGAAGTCAAGGAGGGACAAGAAAAGTAAGCAAATAGCCGTTTAAATATTATAAATCAGAAACATATTAACCGGTTAAACATATTAACTGGTCGCTTTTATGTAGCAGCTGACCGCCACAACAGAAAAGTAACGAAAGTTAGCCAACAAGCTAACGTTAGCTTCTCCTTCTGAGGGAACTACAGTTAGCAGTTAGCCTACTGCTGGCTTATGACAGTTAAATTTATGGCTAACAGACTTCTTTTCACATTATCCCCCTCTCAGTTTCGTTAACGAAAACAGTCAAGAAAGGACTGGAGTCAAAACAGAAGTTAATAGACGAGGTGAGTGTCCTGTCAGCTATGCTATGCTAACTAGCGTTAGCTGCTGCTGCTGCTGCTGCTGCTGACATGTTTCACACTAAACTCTCCACCTGTTTGTACTCTCAGCTACGGAAATGTGTAGACACCTACAGAAACCTGTTCATATTCTCTGTGGCCAATATGAGGAATAACAAACTGAAAGACATCAGGGCAGCATGGAAACACAGCAGGTAACCATGATGTGACATTTTAAATTAATTCAACAAAGTGTCTTGAAAGTTAGAGGCTTGACTCTCCTCTCTTCCACAGGTTCTTCTTTGGGAAAAATAAAGTCATGATGATTGCCTTGGGTAAAGGACAATCGGACGAATACAAAGATAATTTGCACAAGGTAAGTGAGATCAGAGATGTGAGATGTAATGGAACTGCAGTGTCTATTTTAGGCTGTTCAGGGTGGTTCAAAGGATTTCTTGTAGATGTTTTTCCAGTCCCAGTGGGACTTTGTAGAGTCTGCCTGATGGCAGTGAAGGAGTGGTGGAGGGGGCGAGAAGGATCCTCAGTGATCAAGGTGGCTTTCCTGATCCCTGAGAGGATATAAAATTCACATAGATGAGTTCGTGGTGAGCTGATTATAATGCACTACAATATTTCTGCAAAGTCTTTACATTTTTATTGATAATGTGCAGATCACCAAGTGTTTACGAGGAGAAGTGGGCGTGCTATTCACAAATAAAACAAAGGATGAAGTACAGGAGTAAGTAAAGCTTCACTTGATGCACTACAGTTGCAGTTATTCTCAAAATATTTTTCATTAGTTAACAAAGTGGTGTTCTCTATCCACAGGTATTTCAGTCATTTCAAAGAGACGGATTATGCACGGTCAGGCAACCAAGCACAGATGGACATAACTCTGGATGAGGGACCCCTCGAACAGTTTCCTCACTCAATGGAGCCCCAGTTGAGGCAATTAGGACTTCCCACTGCCCTCAAGAAAGGTACAGTCACAGGACATGGCTGTCATTATTTTAATATATATATATTTTAATATATATTTAATATATTTTTGTCAATGAATCCCATGAAAAAATTAACCAACAACAATGTTATAGTCAATTTTTCAATTCTTCTTGAATTCTCTACCCAGTCTGTGGCACTCAGCTCCAAGCACATTGGTTCTTACTACTTACTTATGTTTTCTCTTTTGAAACGGAGAGTGATTTTTTTAAAGCAGCTGGATAATGTAGGTTTTAGCAGATGCCATTCAAACTACAGTAAATGCCTTTGTTGAGGACCATTTTTTTGTTACTGATTTGGTGTGTCTTATTATGCATGAATACTCTTATAGTGATGGCCCACCAGCAGATGGAGACATGAAATAGAATAATTTTCAGTGTATGTAATGTTCACGTTGGCTGATTTTGATAGTTCATTTTAAGGCTGGTATTGGCCGATACAGATGATATAGCGATATCAGCATGTTGGCAGATCCCGATCTTTGATTGAAAAGCCAATATTGGCCGATGATGTGCAGATATTATTGTGCATCCCTACAGGCAACACTTTTTCATATGATTGAGTGCAGCAGGTGACTCCCCTTTCTCCTCTGAAGAATTAACCATAAACACTAACATTATTCATTGTTTCCACATCAGTTAGTTGGATATGATGCCTGATAGTCACATTTTTTTTATCATCTGTTATTAAAGGAGTGGTGACACTGCTGAAGGACCATGAAGTCTGTAAGGAGGGAGACGTGCTAACTCCTGAGCAGGCTCGTATTCTGGTGAGTTCTTTACTGTTTGACCCCCTTTACACCTTGCACTCAGGGTGCTGTCACACCTGCCCTGTTTTGTTTGGTTCAATCAAACTCAAGTTCATTTGCTCCCTCAGTGCGGCTCGTTTGGGCAGGTGTGAACACAGCAATTGCACTCGGGTGCGCACCAAAACAACCGGACCAAGACCTTCTTGAAGAGGTGGTCTCTGTCTGGTTACAAACGAACTCTGGTGCGGTTTGTTTGTGGTGAACGTGTTCCCACCTCGATCCGAACCAACTGCAGTCACATGACACATTGTTTGGGTTAAACATGAGCATGTTACAGTCCTGGAGGATTATGAATGTGCACCTCCTCCTGTACTGCCTTAATATGCACATTCAGCACATCCAATGCATCAAAACATTGTTTTCTAGTTGGAGCCGCGCCTCGTTTTCAAACTGTATGGTTTGACTAAAATGAACAATGACAGTAATATAGTCCACGATGACCAGCGCTAAAATCAACTCACGTAGTTGTCCCTCCACATAGAAATTCTGACCAAAAAAGCAGAATGCTTACAGATGTTCGAGACACTTGCGGATAGAGTGAAGACGAGACTTAAGGGTCTGCTTTTAATTTGGCCTGAGGAAAGTATACAAGTGACACTTGATGTAGCAATGGAGCCATTTATGAAGCAATGACTAAGCAAATGGTGGAGTGCAGCTACAACTGTTGGTTGTTTGAGCTGGACAGAGCAATCAGATCTCAAGCAGGATCTCAATGTGGACACTGGAGACACTTATCAATACCAGGTGTAAATATAATCAGGTTGAATCATATATAGATACAATCTAGATACGAGACAGTGTAATGCAAAGAGGAAAAAAAAGAGAAAATGTTGATTGTGACACTGTGCTGTGTTGTATTTGTCTAACTGTTCAACTTGGCTCCTTTTTTTGTCCATAGAAACTCTTTGGCATCGAGATGGCAGAATTCAAGGTCCAGATCAAATGTATGTGGAACTCGGAGACCGGCGAGTTTGAGAACATTGCTGGTGAGGAAGAGTCTATGCAGGATAACGAAGAAGAGGAAGAGGATGATGCAGAATAAAACATCTACATGGACAGACGTCTGCACACATCTGTTTTTTTTTTTAAGTCAGTTTTTCCAGCCTTTAATAGCAGAGGGACTTTGATGTTGAAAACATTTAATCCTGACAGCATGTGCTGCTCCTGGAGTCTGTAATCTCTCTCCCTGTGTCCTTTGTTCACCCCCCCAAACATGAACATATGTTTGTCAACCTTAAATTTTAGCTTTGGGCTGAATTGTTTTTCAGTAAACACTGGTGACTGGAGTCAAAAGATGTAATAATCCCCTACATGTAATCATGAGATGCCACTTGTTCTGTCAACAAAAGGGTTGTATTGCATGCAAGAATTTTGCCATTCAGCCCAAACAAATCGGCACGTTCTTGTGTGTGACGACCCAACTCATCCAATGTATTCACTGTACAAAAAACACTTTTTTTATGTGAAAAATTGAGTTTCTTTTTATTGTAACAGTTTCATTAAGGCAGACTCCAGAGAAGGTTATTTTTTTCCTGAAAAAATATCCAGAGTTTTCATTTTTACATTTGTACATTGACAATGAAGTGCTCTTCACATTAATACAGGCTGGTCTCAGTTGATCGATTCATAAGAAAAAAATCATTTTAAGTGTGATTTTAGGAAAAAGGTAAAAGGATGTAAGTAAGGGAAATGGGCCATCTCTTTTTAGTGTAAACTTGCATGAAGTTTGATTGGCCTGAGATTTTGGCTCTTCAGCGGAAGTAGTTGGGACACTCGTGGGCTACCAGATTCCAGGCCTCCTTGAAAGCGGCGACCACTCTCTCATCCAGAGGCCCCTCCTCTGCAGCAGCCAGGTTCTCACGAAGTTGCTCCATGCTCGACATGCCAATGATGACGCTGTCACCAAGATCGCCCTGAAAAAGCAGGTGGTTCAGTGGTCAAAGAAAACATAATGCTGCCACACCAAAATGTGGTTCTGATGAAGACATGTCACGAAACATTTTCCATCTACACACCAATTCAGCATTTGACTCTAGCATTGAGGTTCACTATGCAGCGACGCTCCTTTCAGATGGGAATGAGTTGTGACGTTACATCATATGCACACGTCATGACCAGCTATGATTCAACATTTTCCCGGCTGATGTGTGGGTTGGTTTTAAAATTCATGCCTCTAATTACATGTGAACACAGCTGTAACGTGTCCAGTAACTACAGACTGAGCTTTTAAATTTTGGTGACAAATGAACACAAATAACTGACAATTATCCCACAAAGGATAGTGCTCAAAATGTGCCGCATCATCATATAATGCATGCTTGACCACTGACAAAATGTGATGTAAGTGTGTGAAGACATGATACTGCAGATAATAGCACCTAAAATTTGTTATAGGCCCCTTTAAGGAGGATCCATCTTTGTTTAGAAGACATAAAAATCCAAACTTCTTTGCAGAGTGAGAAACAATACCCCAAAGACGTTCTGATAATCTCATGTTGCATATTGTAAACTCCCCACACCTCACAAAACAATCTACTGCAGCTACCGATGTGCAATAGGTACCTTAAGGTGGGAGTGATGGTACATCCAGCGCATAGCAGCAGACGTTAAGGTGGGTTTCTCTGAGCCGTAAGCTGTCTCTAAGGCCTTAATGACAAGTTCTATCCCATCGAAATGACTCTGCTTCCAGTACCTGATAAAGAAGAGCACAGTTACAATTACTTTATGCCTTATCAGATGAAGATGTGTATGGACATGTAGAAATACCTCACATGCAACAAAATTAAATCACTTGTGAGAATTTCAAAGGTAAACTGAAGGTCATCACCTGTCCCTGTATGCCGCAGCCCAGTTGTTACCAAAGAATCGGCCTGCAGGCTGGGAACCATCTTTGTCCTGGTAATGGTACTTTCCTGTCAGAAGGCCACCTGCAGAGGAGTAATGTCAGAATTCAAGCTAAAATTATGTTGGATTCTGCAAGTAAATGTTGATTACCCAGTGTGATGGATATAGAATGACACCTTCAGCGTTAAGATTGAATGAATGAATGCCTTTATTGTCACTGCATGTTCACTAGGGGTGTAAATCACCAGCTTCATCATGATACAATATTATATCGATTTGTTTGGATGACGATACGATGTTTGCCGATATCACAAAGTCTGTCATGATACGATTTTGATTCAATTTGATTCAGGAGCCTGCGATTGATATGACGCGATATCATATGCCCATCTAACACAATCATTTACATCAACTCACTAAAATAACTAGAATATGATTTGACCATTTTATTTCTGAGCTCTGTTTGTTGTTTGAGCGGAGGCGCGCTTGCCCAGAAATGGTGACACAGACGGGCTATGTGAATTTCAAAATAAATGTGTATCTTTAAGATGACGATATGGATCGATGTTTTCATTTTGCATCGATATAATCGGATTGTTAATCAATGAATTGATGTGAATCGATGTGGATCGATGTATCGTTACACCCCTAATGTTCACACACAATGAAACTTGCTGTCTCTCATAAAAGAAAACTGTTCTATGCACTCAACACACACACACATACCTATACGTTAAAATAGGATAAGGCTAAAATTATTGTGGAGGGAAGGAGGAATGGGGATTTGGGGGGTAGAGTTCAGATTGTGTATAGCTGTGGGGTAAAAACTGTTCCTTAGTCTGGAGGTGCGGCATTTCAGGACCCTGTAGCGCCTTCCAGAGGGCAGCAGTGTGAACAGGTGGTAAAAGGGGTGAGTACTATCTTAAACAATCCTGCAGGCTCTGCTGTGGCAGCGAGACCTGTAGATGTTTGGGGGGCAGGGGGTGTCCAATAAATTTTTGTGCTGTGTTGACCACCCTCTGGAGAGCTGCCCTGTCTGCCGCCCAACAGTTCCCAGGGGCTGTAAGGGTTATAGGGTCCAGATTGGACCAGATTGGTCCCCTCTAAGCCTCGCATTCACAATGCAATTCTGTCTGCTGCCAGGTACGATCTCCCAGGAAAGTGATTTCAGTGTGTCAACCGCAGTCAAAACAAGAGGATAGTGCTTTTGTTTTCCTCAATAGCTATCGTAGCTATAGCTCTACGGCCATGGTGCCAGCTCTTTGAGGCTGGACGTAGACACAGTGGTGCTTTGAGGAGCAGTAAATGATAATGTCAGAATGTTTTTCAAGTATTTGGTCATAAACAAAGTCTGACCTGATGATGGTGCTAGATGTAAAGTCAAGGGATCACTAAAGTGATTACAGTTCCTCCTAAAGCAGAACCTGAATGTGTGTACCAAATTTATTGAAACCTATCCAGTAGCTGTTGAGACATTTCAGCACTAGAGTGAAAATCAGGGAATCACCAAAATCATTAGGATTCATCTTTTGGGCACCAAATATCACCAACTGTGAGTTTCTCCTTTTGAATCAAACAGTTTAGAGGACAACTGCACGCTGTACCAGAGAAGGAGGATATACAACACCTGCTAGAGGATTGTATGCGTAGAATCTCATCCCGAAGTACCTCAGACACGGCAGCAGCTCGGTCTCAACCTGTCTTGTAGTGGCATTGTACATTCCCTGTGAACGATTGGAAGAGTCTAAGTTAGGGTACAGAAAACAGCCAAAGACAGTAAATTCAAGCAAAAGCAAGGTGGGCAAACAAAAGAAATGTAACATGGGGGTCAAGAAGGAAGAAGCATTGAGGCCACTTTGCGTGTCTCTGTACTGTTACTGAGGCTTAACCATGGTTTCTTTCCTCAACAAAAACTACTGCAATTCTGGCTGGGCAGTTACACAAAAGCTTTATCAGAACTGCCAGCTCAAGATGGCTGCCAGAAAATTACTCTGAGAATCTGGCCTCTGAGAATCTAACCAGAATCTACTGAATCCTTTCTGGTACTCTCAAATATAGTTGCCCATCGACTCAAGTTGCTTTGCATTTATACTTTGTCTCAACATTGTGGACAATATCTCATCCATTTGCTGAGTCTGTGGCTGCAGCCAAAGTTGATGGGCTTTTGGGCCTACTAGGCCTCTGACAAACAGACCTGTCTCCATCAACATCTGCAACTTTAATCAACTCCCGGTACATCCTGGTAAGATAAATCATGCTGCCTAAAAATGCTAAAACATCCCATTATGAGGATGATGCTGTGGTCACAATGAGTGTACTCTCCCAGTTAATGGAGCAGCAGAAATAGTTTTACAAAGAGATGTTACTGCAGCAGCAGGACAACTTTAAATGTTTCATTCAGCTGATCATGGATGGAACTAACAAAAGATTGGATGGTGTCATTAGAGATGTACAGGAGCCGAAGACCAGCTTGGAATTCACCCAAGAAAAGTTTGAAGAGAATAAGATGGGATGCACTGAGATTGAGACAAAGATAAAGGCATTTGAGACAACCATAATGAATTCCAAGCAGGAATTGGATGGAATGTTCACCAAGCTAGATTACATTGAAAACCAGAGCAGGAGAACAAACATTTTAATCGATGGCATTGCAGACGAGAAAGGAGAGAACTGGAGTGACTCAGAGAAAAAGGTGCGACAAATGCTTTCAAAAGACTTGGGCCTAGATGGCACAAATATGGACATTGAGCGTGCCCAGAGAATTGGTCAGTACCAGGAGGGGGGAAGGCCAAGGAAAATTATGGTCAAACTTCTTCGCATTAAAGACAGAGAGTGGATTCTTTCTTCTGCCAAGAAATTAAAGGGCACTAAGAGCTACATTAACGAAGATTTCTCTGAAGCTGTGCAACTGAGGAGGAAAGAGCTGTGGCCGAAGTTGAAAGCTGCCAGAGAGAGAGGTGATAAAGCGAACCTGAAGTATGATAAGCTGGTCATCACCCCCAGGGCTGGACAAAGTCAGTCACTGGCCTAATGTGCTTTAAAGTTCAATTTTAATCTTTTTTTTCCATTTGTTTTTGGATAAAAGGAGTTTGTCTTGTTTTAACTTGTTTATGTTTATTATTTTATGGGTTCAAAGAACATAACTACATCTGTGTCATTAAGTTTGCCAAAGAAAGGACTGATTTTAGCTAATTTAAATATATGCAGTCTCAGGTACAAGGTTCATGAAATCACCACTATTTGTTCCTCTAATAATATTCATGTTTTAGCACTGTCTGAGACACACCTGGATAATACTTCTGATGATTCCGAGTTGGCTGTTGAAGGTTATAGGTTCTACAGAAGGGACAGGGACAAATATGGTGGTCGTGTTGCATTTTACGTTCAGGAGCACATTCCAGTTTTGCTACGGAATGACATTACATGTACTGACATTGAAGTAATTTGTAGTAAATTAGATAATTTATTGTCTTGGTCTGATCAGATTGATCATATTGTTTCGAAGATGGGAAAGGGCATTGCAATTTCAAGGAAATGCTCTGCTTATGTTCCATCTTCTGTTATGTGTGATGTTGTTCGGTCACTTGTTTTGTCACATTTGGAGTATTGCCCTGTTATTTGGTCAAGTGTTGCTGTGAAAAACTTCAAATTGCACAGAGTAGAGCAGACCAATTAGTTCTCCATTGTTCTGGTTCCGTGCCAATGTAATTGAGATGCATAAACAATTATCGTGGTTAACTGTTGAGGATAAATTA